GGCGTAACAACTTCAGGGATGCCTCGTTCCGTGTCCAAGCCACTGGTCGAAACCTGTTTTCATCCAAGCTCTTACCAGGGTTGATCACCACCCATGGGGTCTCGAGGACCCCTCATGGAGGGTCGGCTATTCTTGCTCCCCCTGAGACCACTCAAGCATTTGACCCCAGCCAGGACATCACCGGTCAATACCAAGCTCTTTTTAACACCACGCGTGTTACTGCAGTTTGGCATCAAGTCACCAAACACGTTCGGGCACTCATTTGGTCTTTCTACGGGAAAACGGGGGCCTCATCCGAACAAGAGCCACATGTGTGGAACGATAACATCTTGTCTAAGATCTTCGAAATCTCCGCACAGTACGGAGACATTCCGGTCTTGGTGTCGGGAGACTTTCAAGCCGAGCCGATGTCTTACCCGTCGATTGTAAGTGCCATTCAGTTTGCCAAATGGGAAGATCCGTTCCTCTCGTACGATGCAGATGGTCTTCCATCGAGGGACTTGACATTTTCTTCAGACAGATCCTTTTCTGGACAGGAGGGTTGCTCCAGTATTGACTCCATCCTCATCAACCACGTCACTAGTGCAGCGTTGGTCAGAGTTGAAACCGTCTCCACGTTCGAAACACAACACCGTCCTCTCCGAATTACCTGTTCATGGCCAAAGATCTTCATTTCAGGTTTCGTTCATTATAAGACTGCCCCATTGAACGTTGCTTCCGGTCAGATAGATCTTGATCCTTCCAGGTTTTCATCACAACATGCCGAATCTCTGTGGACGGACTCTTTTGCGCAGGCCTTTGATCAAGCTGACGATGTGGATCATCGATGGCACATCGCCAATGACTTTTGCATCTCGTTCCTTCTACAGAATGGCGCTGTTTGGGGAAAGGGTCCCAAAGAGAGAGGTGCTCCCCCAAAATTTCGTTCGAAGAGGGTCTGTCCGGGGCAGAACTTGTTTGGAGGCTCTTCCAAGTCTCGCATGTCTCGTTACTGCCGTGCCTATCGGGGCCTCCAGGAGCTTTGCTTGCGACTGTCTCGAGCGCAAAGAGGTTTTGCTGACTCCCAGGTCACCTTTAATACCTGTTGCAAGATTCGTAGGCTTCTTGTAGACTTAAAAGCCCCCTCTGTCTGGGAGAGTGGGTCTTTTCCATCCTTGCTTCAGGTTTGGACGAATCTGTCATGGGTTGGGGATGCGGCACGCACTTTCGATGTCAAGATTAAATTAGCCCGCATTCAAGCTTGGAAGTCCAAAATTCAAGAAGACGCTCGGTCGGATAAAAAGTTCATTTTTAAACATTTGCGTAACCGTGCATGTGAAGAACCAGCCAACCTGCTTCAGGATCCTGATGGCAACATCATCACTGATCCCAGACAAGCCATTCGGACATTTAATGAAGCTTGGGATGACGTTTTTGCATGTAACATTCAAGCGGACCACCCTCTTAAAATGCTCGACATCATTTGGCCTTACATTCGTGACCATGAGTTGCGGTTTGAGAGTCAGCCGATTGATGCACAATGCTTGTGGCACATCATCCAATCCCGAAATCCTCATGCCGCCCCAGGACTTGATGGATGGCGGACTGGTGAGCTACAATTGATGCCGGCTGAATGCTTTCGGCCTTTCGCCTCCGTTTTTGCCGCACTCGAAGTGTCAGATGACCCTTTGCCTCCCACCCTCACGTGCGCCCGTCAGATGATCCTCAACAAAAATGGATCTTCTCACCCTATGCAGAAGCGGTTGATCACGGTGTTGCCGATTTTATATCTGGCATACTCGGGTGCCCGGTTTCGCCAACTAAGAGGTTGGCAAATCAATGCCATGCCTTGCCAGCTTGTCGGAGGGGTGCAAGGTAGGAACATGTCAAGCATCCAGATGCAGATGAAACTCGACATTGACATTGCCAATGCCCAGGATTATGACCTAATAGGCATGAAACTCGACAAAGCTAAATGTTTTGACCGAGTGATACCCTCTTTTGCCTCCTGCCTCATGTTGGCTTTTGGAATAGATAAGAAAATTGTCACAATCTTCAGCAAACTGTATGATGGCCTTCATCGCCACCTTTCCTACAAGGGCTGGTGCTCTCCGTCGGCTACCCATGCTGCCAACGGCATAGCCCAGGGAGACAGTTTCTCGCTTGTAGCAATCAATGTCTACTCCAAGGTTTGGATTGTTTTCATGGACCTGTTGCCAGAAGTTGTTGCCATGGCCTATATTGACGACGCCTATTTGTGGGCCAGATTGGAGCATGCAAGCAAGCTTGCACATGCCGTCGAGATCACTCGCTTTTGGGATCTTTTGTCAGGTCAGCTACTGAATGACAATAAATGTGTGGTTTGGGGCACCTCCACCAAAGCCCGCAAGACTTGTAAACAACTTTGGCCTAACATGTCCCTTCAGCTTGAGGTTGAGGTTCTGGGGGCGTTTGTCACTACCTCCAAACGCCAGGCTTTTCACTTTGAAGACTTGAAGACACAAGCCATTGTTAAAGAAATTAAACACATTCGGGCTCTTCCGGTTCCGGTGAAAGTGAAAACCTTTTTCCTTGGGGTGAAAGTGATTCCACGTTTCTGCTATGCTGCCTCCCTCAATCTGATTCCTAAAGATGTCTCGAAGAAGTTTCAATCTGAAATTGTGCACACTCTCTGGGGACGGCGACCACACTGGAGGTCCCGTGCCCTAGTCCTGGCTTTCCTTTCGGATCCACACCGCAATGATCCTGTGTGTGCGCAAGCGTATCATGCAATAATGGAATTCCTGAGGTTTTTGAGGATGCCCGGAAATGGGCGTGAGAAATGTCTTTGGGCGGCGACACATTGCACGGTAGAACAGGCTCTGTTGACCAAGATTAAGGATGCCTTCCGCTTCTTTGGCCTGTCTTTGTCACATGACCTTGTTCTTTCCTTTGGGGGTAAACCTCTCATGCCTGCTTGGGATCTCCACCCGAAGGATATCAAGTTGTTGCTGCATCGGCTATCGAGACACCGTTGTTACCTTGAGGCAGCAAATCAGCACCGCAAGGACTTCCGCATGCCTTCCGGCATCCTTGATTTTGACCTCACGTGTGGGCTTCGTGACAAGTCCACCATCCAGCATGAGTCCAAAGCCGTAGTTGAGAGCCATTTTGTTGCCCAATTAGTGGGCTGCACTTTGACACGTGACCGTCTGTGTGCAGCAAATTTGGACGATTCAGACAAGTGCCGGTTTTGTGGGAGTGTGAAAGAATCGTTAGCCCACGTCGTTCTGGAGTGTGAAGCATACCATGCCCTACATCCCCCTGAACCTGTTCACGAGTTAGGTGCAAATTTTGGGCTTCTGGGCATTGTTGAACACCCTGTTGGTATTGTGAAACACAGACTGCAATGGAACAACCCCGAAGACATTCTTGCTGAGACTTTCAATCCCTCAGCTCCCCGGGTCAGCTGGTGGTCTGATGGCTCAGTTTTTTGGCCAGATGTTTTCTGGCTTTCGGCTGGAGGCTTTTCTATTGTCAACGAAAGCAGCCAAGAACTTTTTGGTGGCCCTGTTTATCATCTTCATCTTTCTTCGTGCACTACTGAGCTTTGGGCTATTGTTGTTGCAATTCATAAATGCGCTACTCCAACCGAAGTGTTCACTGATTGCCAGACAATTGTTGACCAATTTTCGGTCTTGCAGTCAGATGGTGCACCACATGCCTCATGGTCCCATTTCTCATGGTGGCTTGCAATCAGCAACAGATTCCAATTTTTGTCGTGTCTTCACCCTGAACCCTTTGCGGTGTCATGGGTCCCTTCTCATTTATATGAACACCTTCCTGAGTGTTTCATCACCCAGGCCATGGCTGAAGCAAAGAAGACGGAAATTCGTCATATCATTGGAAATCGGTTCGCTGACAAGTTTGCTAAGGAGCATGCCTTGCAGGCCACGAGTGTACACCCTTCAGATGAACAGATGTTAAAACAGAGCATCGTTCGAAGACAGGATTGGCTAACAACGCTGAACCTTGAGATTGCAGCGCTTCAGAGACTTGATCAAGATAGCAAACAGGAAGCCCGCTTTGCTGAAGAGGAGGCTTCTGAAGATGTTTTTACCCTCTTCCCTCATTGGGAGTGGGAACCACAAGTTCATCATTTTCCATGGACACCCACGTTTGTGTTCAATCCTGATGATGTTCCACCACAATGGGCTTCAAAAACCAGTGATTGGAAAGTTTTGGGGGCCTTTTTCTCAGGCCAACGATGGCGGATTTCTGAGGATGCAGTCACCTCCTACGTGGAATTGGCTGTGTTGTTCCACCTGCAAGGATTCCAACTTCCATCGCAGGATTCTTCGATCCATACTTTTAGGGATCTGACAGCTGAGGTCCGCCAATTTGTGGCACGCATCCGTGTTGACTCAGGTACTTCATTTGTGCCGGGTTGCCATAATAGACACCGGAACAAAAGCATCGGCAAATCTCTGCCTAATGGGACCATTGATGGAGCCGAGATTTATCTCACTCGTGAATACAAGATTCGTTTTGCACGAATATTAGCTGGAGTTTCGACCGCCCGACTTCAAGCATGGGCTTTCTCCTTGGACAGCGCTGAGGGTTAATTCGGGGTTCACATATGAAAGCATATGTGTGATGGATACTTGGCAGAATGCCTAGTATGCCAGACGAGACTTTTCTCGCCGCGTCAGGAAGAACAGTATAGACATGTTATAGATGTATAGGCTTGGACTCCCTGCATGGGAAGTGGCCCCATGGTTTTGGGCTCCGGGTTGTGAGCTGCAGCCATGTAGTCGAAATGGCAGCATGAACATCCTCGTGTACCTTTGTATGAGTTTCAGCCTTGCGGACTATGGACAGCAAGATACCTTCCAGACTTGGGTTCTGTGTGGAGGGACAGCACGAACATGTGCGATTGCTCGGCTAGGTAGGGACAGCTCACCCTCCAGAATACACCTGAAAATCAGATGAACCACTCGTGGCAAGCCGAAGAAGAAGCACTTTTCCCATTCCGATTTGAGGATGGCAAAGCCATCTCAGGATCAGCTTCCAGGCAAGGCTGCGCGGTTGATGTGAAGCCTCGATTTCATGGCCAATGGTGTATTGTTGGTGGAGGTTCAGCCTGTATTTTCATAGGCTGCACTGGTAACATGGTCATATGCGTTCTTGTAGATTGGCTGATGAAGATTGAGTGGGGAATTCAAGAGCTAGACTCGACTCCTCAAGGTCGTCAGCTGGGGCATTTTCTCTTTGTCCATGCAAAATGCCTAATAGTTGTACTACAAATGGACAAGAAGTTGCCCTCTATACCTTTTTCAGAGAGACGGTTTCTCCCTCATGTTCAATCGACCATTCACGCACTTCACGAACTGGAGGGCGTAAGATGACGCGCCCTCTCTCGACCATCGAATGCTTTGTAGTTCGGCCCCCCAAGTACAGTAGAGAGAGCATTGCATGTTGCATGCTTTGCACAAGACATGTTGGGCCCGGAACTGGCCTTTCTTTTTGAAAAGACTATTAAGCTCTGCAATGAAACGTTGTCCAGCCATAAGAGCCAAATTAAGCACTTTGACATGAGCCACAATAGTGGGGGACAGCTCTTTTCAACCACTTGTTCGTCTCCCAAAACGGAGAGACATAAGATGGCCACAACTGAGGCACTGGGACCTTTATAATGGATTGAGAGTAGATGGCACAGGTTACCCCCAAGTTGGAGGGACTGTTGCCGGACATCATGGGGTTTGTGCATCGATCCTGTAAGACCACTACCTCTTGGAGAGGAATGAAACACACAGGTTCCTGAGGGCCCGCAGGTTCCGCTGACTTGGGCTTTCTAGATGTTTCTAGGGACTCTCACACTGAAAAATGCAACAAAAACGACGAACCTCGGACTGAGATGCCCAGACACTCTTCCGCCCCATGGACCTCTCTTCAATCACCCCAAGGTGTGCAAATCATGGCAGTCCCGGACAGGTCGTGTTTGGGATGATATGTGAATCCAGAGGTAGACGGAGTCTGTTCGACATGTCCGCAGCACTTCAGCTGAAAACATCCTCCTCAACACAGCTCAACCTTAAAGTCTCCATCACAGCTAGTAATCTGCAGCGGTTTTCCAACACGTGCCACCAGGTCAGGAAAGAGCTCCAGGCCTCGGCACCAGTGGGGGGGAAGCGCAACGCGAGCGCAACGAGCTAGCACGAGCGACTCTCCGTGCACCGATCGACTGTAAGGACCTTGGGCGATCGACCCCGGGTCATGGCAACAGGAGCCCTAAGTTCTAAGTTACTGGTAGGTTGAGGTCCATATAGTAGTCTATTCGGTTCATTCTCGGACAAGCAGGGAGTCTGGGGTGCCATGACCGCCTTTTTGATGGCACCACGAGACCGGAGACCTACCTGGTGTCGGGACCCTTCGTTCGTTGGAAGGTCCGGCTCCAGGTGTTCACCCCACCAAAACGCCCCACCCAACACGCCCGCCGCAGCTGCCCCACATGGCCCAGCAACAACCAGGGCAGTGCTGTTGATCGTTCTTGTTAGGCCCGTTAGGCTCGCACCATACTGGATCGCACCGTTCCTTCTCAAACTTCTTTCCCGACCCAGCAAAAGTGGAACAATCACTGGCGCCAGCCTTTCTGGAATTGGTTTCTCCACTCGAAAAGAACAGGTGGAGAAATGCAGTTGTTTTTTCGTGGTCCCCAAACAGATAGGTCACATGCATAGGTCACATGCTGGAGCCATACATTCTCTACGTGGGGATCTACGAACCTCTATCTACTTGGGGACCACTATATATAATATATATATATAACCTTCCCTAGGGATCCACTGCCACCTTCTCAGAAGGTACGACTGGACCCTCCTGGCACCTACATAGCGGTGTCTCCGTCCTCACCGTACCTGAGGACCTGAGGTTCGGTACGACTGGATCCCTAAACCTTTATGTTAACGGTCCGGTCAGCTTTGCCCAATCCGACTCCACGACCGACGTGGAATTCGGACTCCGACGTGGTTTCCGTCGGCTTGAGTGCTTCAGACGAAGGTGAACACCAATGGCAAGTGGTCCCTGCATAGAAGTTCCACATACTGTAGAAGTTCCGCTATAGAAGTTCCCCCCATAGTTCCACTATAGATAGAAGTTCGTAGATCCCCACATGTAGAAAATGTCTACACCGTTTTCACGGTCACCTATTTGAGGAACCCCTTGTTGGAGGTGCCATGCTGCGGTGTTGGCCATGCTTCGGTTCCATCAACATCGCCAGGCACCAAGGAAAGCCGTTTGCACCATCCCTTGAGAGGCTGGGTGCACGAAAGACTGGAATCGATCCCCAGAGTTTGCTCAGCTTCCAGATTGCCAAGCTTCTCCACATTGATGGATTCAAATCACTAATATCCCAGACACTCCATAATGTATGGAATTTAGTATACCTACATTGGCTATGAAAACCACCCCAATGAGCCCCAAGGTAGTGTTTGGGTACGGATTCGTTGGAGCTTCTCGCGTATGGCAAGCCATCCATCACCACTGCCGCGCCAATTCAAGACCCTGTTTGTTCGCCAAAAAGCAGCCAATCATTTGGCTGGCCGATGGAAGACAACCCCATGACACGACTAATGGGACTGGAATATATGCCCACATTGACCCCTGAAATCAACCACCCCAACTGATTGGTAAAAGTTCCAGTCCCATAGAGTGTTTGGGTAGTGAAATGATGTGAATGCCTATCTATTTGGGGACCTTTGAACGGGCCTCTCTCTAAATATTCCAGTCCCATGGGTCGTGTTTGGGAACCAAATATGGAGGGCCTCACAACATCGGCTCACCGCGTTGGGTTGGCTTCAGAAGCGCACGCTGCTGACCATACGCGGCGTGGCCGGTGTACCGATGTAGGTCCATTACTGCATGAAGGCGGAGTGGTGAACCGCACCGAAGCTTTTTGGGCAATGATAAGGAGGTCACGAACTGAAGGTTCTGGAACTATGTTTGCAACACCCTGCATGACTGGTGTGTTGGAATGGTGAGAACCCCTGGCCCGTTCGTTAGACTTGATGTTGATGTCCCGACAACTCTCCCCGCCAGGACCGTGCCGTTTCGCCCCGCCAGCAGCCCTGCCATAAGAAGGCGGAAAGAGATGGCACACACATCAGATGGCACACCAGGGTCATCCTGTCTGGGTGTCCAATATACTACCCTACCCTACGTAAACAGGTCTCCAGAAAGGGCACCGATTGGAAGTGCTAGGTGCATTCGCCACGAACAGCTGGGGGGGTGGTTTGAACTTTGAACTGGGCATCGCGGCATCGAGTCCGGAGCGATTGGACGCGGCATCGAGGTAGGGGCTCCTCCAGGTGCTGGTTTGAACGGCTGGTCGTTCCGCGCAACTTTTGGAGGAACCAACTCCGAATAAGCGAAAAACGTTCGGCCGATCCAGAGTGACACCTGTTCGAGGGACCGGTCGCTTCTTGGTGCTTCTTTGGCCAACCCACGGGACCAAATAGAATTTCCGGACCACTTAAGGTGGTGCTTAGAGTAGAGTTTCCGGAGGTCAAGATGTCCAAGCATGGGCAAGGCATGGCAAGACGATGTTTTTGCTTTTCAGGCTGAGTTTGTGTCTCTGCAAATTCTGGTCATCATGAACATGGTGCATGGTGGTTGCTGGATTGCAGAGGTGAGCTGTTCTGGTCAGATGTATATAGTCTAGTTATTGTCTACAGGAAGCAACATCTTGGCATTGACGGTCACGGGTTTATGGTACAAAGCCATCAGGTTCTTCAGGGCCACTCTCGAGCAGCGGATATACAAGAATTGTACTGATGTGTCGCAATTGAGGGCAACTATACAATAGTTTGTTATATAATTTTATATATCATATAAACTGTTCTTTTGATCTTTGAAGCGAGGTTGTTTAAGGGACACCTATTCAAGAGGTATTGTGTTTTTTGTGCACCCTACTTTGCTGATTGATGAGTATTTCCACATGGAGGGTGCTGGCAGACAAAGAATGCCAAGTATGTGCCTCGGAAAATCATCATTGTCATCGAACCATTGCAGCGCAGAATGATATCCCCGGCCCGTTCAAAGGTCCCCAAATAGATAGGCGGCATTCATATCATTTCACTACCCAGACACTCCATGGGACTGGAATCTTTACCAATCAGTTGGGGTGGTTGATTGAAAAGGGGTCATGGGACTGGGCATATATTCCAGTCCCATGGGTCGTCGTGTCTGGGCTACCTGTGGAAGGGTCACCTGTGCGACGGTCCATGAGTCACGTCACGCCGTCCACGCCGTCTGGACGCCACTGACGTCAGGTCGAGCAGCGCCGCGGAGCGAGGCGAACAGATCTCCCACAACTCCCACAGCATATGGGGGTCCTAGGGTGACCTGACCGGTCAGGTCTATGGGGTCTAGTCGTTGACCTGAGGGTATGCCCACTGAACATAGGGGTATAATACGTATTGTTGACCTATAGGTCAGGTCTATGGGGGGCTACCCTACCCTACCTTACGCCTACCGGAGGCCTATCCCTGGCCAGACCAGAAGCTGTTCATACAGCAAAGGAGACCAGTTAGGAAAGGATGCAGTTCGGCAAAGTGACCAAGCTTTTGCTAGCCAGTCCTTGCTATGAATGCACCAGTCGCCCAAACGGGATGCCCTTTGAAGATCTTTGAAGACCAGAGCACTGCTGTCATGGGTGTTGTTTTGTGAGTCAAAATTACATATTGTGGTCTTACAAAGCGTTAAAACTTTCACGAACGGTTCATATACAGCACTTGGAAGCATATTGGATGTGGCATCGCTGAACGGGCATCGCTGAACACTGGTCAGAGCCGGGCATCGTCCAGCTGTATTGTTCCTCTTTCATTAAGCAACTGGGATCCCTTGGCTTCTTGGGTTTAATGCCCCCTCTTGGCCCCTCTTGCTTTCTATCACTGAACCTTTGGATCACTGATATCAGATTGCCTGAAGTTCTACTTTCGGTTTGTTCATCACCAAGTGGTTCCTTTTTTCACGTCCTTTTTTGACAACGACATGGACCAATATGGACAGGTCCCTCAGACGTCCCGCTGCGGACCCGTCCTCCGTCCGAACGAGAGGTGTTTCGTTTCAGCAGGTACCACCTGAAATCGCTCGCCCATCTCGACCCATTGTACCACAGACGGTCGGGTGGTACTATCCTCGACCCGCGGCGCTTCAACCACCGGTATCTACCGACCATGGACCGAGCATGGTCCGTTTCAACGACGCGAAATCCCGGTCCGTGGGGTGTGTAACAGGTGGAGTTGGTGTTACGGGTGGAACAGGTGAAGTACGTAGAGTACCAATTGACCCATTACCTAGAACCCAGACATGACCTCTGTTTTGATATGAAGAGACCTTATATTGAGTGGTTGGTGGTCCAAAATAGAGGTCATTCAGGTTCTAGGTATATATATATATATATACAATTGTTATAGATAAATGTGAGAATCCATGATGTAGGAACTTATAAATAAGAGCAGTCTCTCATTGAACACCAGGTTTTGAATCAATGGTTTTATGATGTTTTATGTGTTCAGCTTGTGCAACAGCAGGCTTTGGATAGTTTTTGGGGATGCCCTTGGTAGTGTCTCACACATTCATGACTGATGCTCCTAGCCTGTGCAAATCGCAGCGCAGGCGTGCAGCAGTGGCCGCCCCGTGGCGGGTCTAGTGGCCGAATGAGCTTGAGGGACTTGCACTATGCAGCTGGGCTGCACGGCACGGGTCCAGACTGTTTGTGGTTCCGGCCAGGCAAGCTAAACACTGTCCAGTGGTGGAAAATGGTCATAAGAACATGCACGGTGTCTTACCGTAACTTGTTTAACTATAAATTACTGTAAGCATTGCTACATGTGTGAAAAAGGATCGATCGAAGAAACACCTACCTGGAATCAATCAGCATCGTTCAAATGGATATTGACTTTGCACGCCCTCGTTTTGAGACTGCACGCACTGAACGCTTTGGATCAACGACAGACCGATGGACCCTTCGTGCAAGAGCTTGTTAGATCCATATAGCATCAATTAAGGTCAAGCATCTTGAACAGATCGTGGTTCCATGCCCTACAAGTCCAGTCTGACCCAGTAAAAGCTGGTCTTTTACATCCCTTAAGTCCTTAAGTCGTGGGTTTTATATGAAAAGATCTCCCAGCAGTCACAAAGGGGTGCGATCCATGGAGGTTAGGGGTGTCCATCTCCAGTAACATTGAGGTCAAACTTACCTATATATAGGGATGAACCTCGCCCGTGATCGGCACGATCGCAGCTCGCAGCCCGCAGACGCGAGACGAGTCACATCTTTAATTGCCGTGCGACTCGAGAGTCTCAGAGTTGGTAAGGCCAGCTGTTGTAGCAAAGGCACTGTTGAGGTTCATGTTTTGTTTGTTCAAATCACTGGTTATGAGGCTTTTCTATCTATCCATCTCCCCAATTCTTCTCCAATAACATCCAATCAAGAAGTCTCGATGTGATCGGTCGCGAGTCTTCAAACCAACTAAAGTCATGGGCCATGGGGACATCATTCCATCCAACCAACTAAAGTCATGGGAGTTGGGCTCAGTAGATGCCTTGAGGTGTTCAGTTACCATGTCTCACGCATGTGTTAGTAGATGTCTTGGCCATGTCTCATCGCATTGGAAAGCCAAGTTTGTTTGACCACTGGAGAGTGGGTTCCGTCTTCGGGATGGTGCCCCGATGGTAAGGAGAGCATGCGGCGGCAAGCAGCTGCACGACAGGAGCCGCATGCAGACCTGCGAAAAAGTGTTTATAGAATTCAATACACTAGGCTTCATCGAGTGTATATTAGTTAATTAAATTAAGAGCCTTCCCGCAAACAATGCTGTGTAGGACACAGAATGTTCGAAGTGACACGAACCAGAGAACGATCGCAGATCGGGCTCAAATATTTTTTTGGGGGACAGACGTCCCTGCATCGTCCACGATGGACGGACCGAATGCCATTGGAAATGTGCCGGTGGCTGACCGGCTGGGCTCGCATGTACCCAGCGGCTTGGGACGACCTCTTGTCCCTCCATGAGGTCTTGTGGGCTTGGAGTAGAGTCCAGCATGTGGACAACCGCACCCTGGCAACACTCCCGATAGTCATGGCGGCGACCGCCGAGGCACGGGCGACACCAGATGAGATGGCGATCGCCGAGATCAAGCTAGATCATCCAGTACATTTGTACTACAGCCCTGCCGGTTTGCGCCTGAAGCCACTGCTGGAGGCGACCGGGACATGGACGATGCAAGCTCTGGCAGACTGGGTCGAGAAGACGGGCAAGTGCATTCACTTCACCCGGGGCCTTCGGCTTGCAGCCAACCGCACGAGCGCGTGGGCAGTTGAATTCATGCTGGAGATTGCAGAACCTGAGCACAGCCAAGCCACCAGTGGCGGTGCCAAAAGAGATCCCATCCATAGTGAGATGCAAAGGCTGCTCAAGCATTACTCGGACTCCGAGATCGATGGTCGATCCAGGGAGTTCCCCATGAAGAGTTTAATAGTGGGAGCTGAGAAGATTCTTGCCAGGGTATGGCATGAGCGCTGGGTGCCGTGGCAGTACACACCCATGCATGCAACTGAGCGAGTTGTTGGAGGCACGCTGCTTCGACAGCACTGGAGGCCTGAATCCCCTGAACAGGGACCTGAAGCAGAAGAACCAAGGTCGCCTCGCCGTGGACGAGGACCACCTGTGGCCATCGTCATTGAAGACGACCAGTCCTCCTGGACTCCGAAGAGCCTGATCAGCATCATGGACGCACTCGACGCAACCTCTTTGTGCTGGACGTTGTGTCGCCTCGGACACGAGCTGGAGATCCAAGAGTACCATGGAATGGTGGCGCCAGCTGTTCCGCTCTCGCCCAAACAAGATCGCACAGCTCAAGGCATGCTGGACGCTGGATGGAAGATGGCCTTGGACATGAGGAGCGGCACAGACTTCGCAACAGCATCGCAACAAGTGATGGAGGACACATGGAGCCCTGCAAGCAGCTGCCTTGCCCTGGAAGACAGCACGGGGCCCTTCAAGCACCACTGAAGGGGGTACTTGGCCCCAAGCGGCAGCGAACAGCCCCCGCACCGCGGCCGATCAGCGAACACTGGATCGTGCTCAGCGCCTTCTATGGCGCCGGGACAGCGCGAGGCTGACATTGTCCTTGGCCCCGCATCTTCTAGGAGGTGCATGAAACATGCATGAGTGCCGGGCTGGGGTGGCTCCCGTGCCAAGATGGCAAGTACGCCCAACCCATGAACAGCGACATGTTTTTGAAGCTGAACGACGAAGAACACGTGCTAGCAAAGCTGCGCCAGTCCAAAAGTGTCCCAAGACATCCAGAAACATCGAATGGTGGGCCCTCTGACCGCCCCCCCCCCGACATGGGGAATACGGACCATGCCCAACATCCACCATCCGAATGCGCAGGAACTGCTGGAGGGCCCCAAAACACATGCGCCGACCAGTTTCGCCTTCTCGGTCGAACAGATCGGGGCTGGTGGGAAAACCCAGGTCAGACGTTGTGACGACTGGGAGGAGCCATCACAACTCCACGATCGAGGGCATCGACATCCCACCCACACACCGCACGAACACCTTCATAGCAGTTGCGGCTGCGTTTCACCGCCAGCAATTCCATGCGGAACTGTGGGGAGCTGATCACCAATCAGCCTATCGCCAACTCCCTATGGCCGAGCCTGACCACCCACACTCACGTCATCGAGAATCCCGGGGGGATGGACACTTTGGAAACACCGGTGCTTGTTGTTCGGGAGCACAGCATCCGTATATGGGCATACACACGCACAGCCGACATGCTCGTGTGGTTGCGCAGGGCCTTGACATTCTCACCAATGTTGCATTACGTGGATGATCATGCATCGGTCGAACCAAGAGAAACCATTGTATCCGGGTTCAAATGCGTGCGCATCACCAAGGCCATTGGCTTTCGCTTCAAACCCAGCAAGGACCAACCTCCTGCCCCGAGGCAGCTGATCCAAGGAGTGATCATGACTCATGACCATCACCGACAACAGCTTCATCGTGCAAACAGACCCAGCGCGCACGCAGCGCATCTGCACACAGATTCACACCCACCTGACTAAGGGCACGATGTCGCCCGACGAGGCACAGAGGCTGTCCGGGAAACTCACATTCGTCTCGGAAGCCATGATGTCACAGACTGTCATTTGCTGCATCCAACCATTGTATATTGCCGCGCGTCAGCGCCCTGGGACAGGGCATCTCCAACTCACTGAAAACACTGTTGCCGATTTTGCCCCATTCAAGACCCAGAGTGTTCCCATTCCACACCGTGCCAAATGCGGTCATATATGCCGATGCTTTCTTTCAGGCGGGCGACCGCCGGATCTCCATCAAGGACGCCTTGGAGGACACCACATCGGCTGCCGACGCAACAAACTTGATGAAGAATGGATGGGGCTTCGTGGTGAGGACAGCTGCAGGAGCATGCTATAGTAGTAGTCCCAGTCAGTCAGTCAGTCAGTCAGTCTGAGTCTCACAGTCTCAGTATGTCTCAGTCTTAGCTGTCAGTAAGTTGCAGTCGCAATTAGTGAGGCCCCACCAGTGGCCATTCAAACCTTGCTCAAGACGGCTGTGAGCTGTAGCGACGGCCTTCTCACATACAAAGCAGAAGATCACATCCAGCGTGGCAACGGTGGATTGCTGGAAATGGTTTCCGCCGAAAGCAGTGAAGCTATCATTGATCTTGAAGATGATCACCATGAACAACCTCCCCATGATGCCCAATTTGCGGTTGATGACAGAGAATATCAATGGTCTCTTGCTGGCTGCCTCAGACGGCGACCTCACCAAGAAAATGTTGAAAACCAAAGACTTTCAGGAGCAGCTGTCCTCACTCAACATACTCATGCACCAAAAGTATTATCGAGACCGGCTGAAAGCACTGATGTCGGGCACGCCCTTTGTGAAGCTTTTTGAATATCACAAGCCTGGCAGCTTAGCTCTTTGGCGGTGGGGCTCTTTGGTTGACGTATGTGATGCTTTTCACAAACTGGAGGGCGCTTTGAGAATGCATTGGAATATGCAGAAATTCTTGAGTGTGCGTGACGAAGAAGTTCCGAGACCAGACATCTCTTCGCTAGGGCAGATCGGGCAATCAGAAGCAATTATTTTTGGTGCTATTTGAAGTTCATTCTCTTGGTGTGAGGCTTGCCCCTGCCATGGTTTCAGTGGTGAGGGATGCCCTTTGAGGGAGGAAGAGAGTGAGCGTCCCGTGTCTACTGCCTAATTCTTTATAACTACGACTATTTTCTTGCCTGCCATTCCTTGCCTCCTGCCCAGTTCAAAAACTATATAGGCAAACCACAGTTGTGGAAGGTATTTTTGTTGGTGTAAACATCATGTCCATGGCGGTGGACGAGTGGTTATTTGCCAGGGTCAATCGAGGGGTTTCATGGATGTCACTCAAGGAACTCACTGATCGAGCAAAAAGAAACGCTTTTGCAACAAATCACAGCTTAACAAGCATACATACCTTTGAAGGGAATAAACCAATTGGGGCTGTACAGCCGTGGGTTGCAATCTGGACGGTATGTCGGAGGACCATCAATTCAATGTACTATTGATTTGGGTCGTAACAGGAAGATTTGCCTCTAGGAAAATGGGTTGAAACCCTGGATCGAACAAGCACACTTTTCATTGATCCTCCTGGATCGAGCTCAAAATATGGAACGAATCAGCAATGAAAACTTGAAAATTTGTTCACTGAGGATGCCTACAGTTTTGCCTACTATAGAATCCTTCCCACAAGTTTGCCTGACGGCCAAACAGACGCCGGCTTCGACGTCGATCGCCCCAAACAACCGTCGCGCGCCGGTCGCCTGCCGAGGCACGGAGCAGGGACGTTCGCGCGACGTCCCGCGCGCGAAGCCGACGGCGCGGCGAGGACTTAGTGCAACAGCGGGAGATCGTGCGCGAACCGTGGACTCACGGAGGCTGCAGCTGGGTGGTTTGGTGGTTGGGAGCCGTGGTGGAGTGGGTCTGGAGTGGGAGTGGCAAGGGCTGGGGAGCATGGAATCTCGGTTTGGTTATGTTTGGTTTGCAGATCAAACCTGTGAGTCCAAACGTTTATGGAAGGTTTACATTCGGTTCTTGTAGGAATGTTGTTCACTGGTCAACCAGGGATCCCGTTTTGACCCACTGCCAGGTCAATCGGTTCACTCATGTGCCAAGAGCGTCGTGGGTCGTGCTGGGAACAGGTGCTGAGCATGATTTCTCTTTCCCAGACACTCCATGTGACTGCCATATATCTCCACATTGACCCCTGGCACCACCCCAACTGATCGGCATATATGGCAGTCCCATGGGTCGCGTCTGGGTTTTTTGTTGGAGATCGTGTCGTCAGGTTCGCTCCCCGACTCACCTTTACGACGAGATTCCTTTGGATCCAGACACCCGATTCGTCCTTTTAGAAGGCGCTAGCCTCCCACATCCTGAGAGGGTGCTATCACCCCTGACACCCACCCCATCCACCGGAAACCCACCGGAATCATAGGTGCCGAGTCCTTCGCCGACTCGACCGAGTCGGGAACGTCCGCGACCCGGTCCTTTTCACTGGTCCCGACTCGCAGTGAACTCTCGCAAGGTTCACGCTTCCATCCAAAAAAGGGTTTTTGAACTCCCAGCAGTCACGTGGAGGTAGGAGTTGGGTGCCATCCATGGAGGTAGGAGTTGGGTGCCCCCCCTGTCACATCCACTCACTGGATGGGACTAAACATCATCCCTTTGTGACCCCTAGTCTTAAATATAATGTTTTCTTTGAAATTGCTAAGCATGCTAAACACTGCCAGCAGAGTGCGGCAAGTCTGAGCGGCCTGAGGATTTTATTCATCGCACTTCAAGTTGACCAAAACTCCTTAGCACATCTTAGCACAATTTGAAGAGACAGCGAGAACATGGCAAGTTTCCACCAAACAACAGGAACTAGAGGATGTTTGGTAGGTGACACTCAGAATATCTCAGAATCCTGATCTGGGTGAAGTGTTTTTGTTTGTGCACAATCTTGGTTCCTCAACAGCTTCAAAAGTTGCACTGGTTCCAGTGCTACAAGAGAGACCACAGACCCACAGACCCACGACGCCCTGTATAGACAAGACATGTGTATTGTTCTACAAGGTCAGTGTTTCAGGGTCCAGATGTTTCATTCCACTCCATGCATGTCACAATTCATTGATATATACAAACCTGTGGGTCATGGAGTCATGGATGGTGGCACCTGGACCCCCCCAAGCCTTGACACGGCCCATGGGACTGGCATATTTACAGACAGGGGTGGTTGAATTTTGGGGTCAATGGGGCGATCAATATGCCAGTCCCGTCCGTGTCTGGGTGATGGCTTGACCTTTCCAGCAGTCTGTACTGCTCATTTTCCGCCAGGGAGTCGCCCTGCTAGACCTTGGTCAGCCATCCCTGGCTACACTGGCCACAGGCCGAGACTCGACAGACGCGACGACAATCGCGGGGGGGTAGGTCCTAACAAAAGCGACTTGGTTTTAACAAGGTTTGGTCGAGCAACACATGTCCGGGCAATCTATTTGTCGTTATTCACCTGCAAATGTTCACTGTTTTCTTTTTTTTATGGTATCTTTTAGACTATAGCATATCTTTAGCTGTAGTATTTCACATCTCCAGATGGGGTTGTTGATATGCACCAACATTCAACAGCTTTCAAACCTGGAACTTCTCCACAGCCCTGCATGGCTCACAGCCCTTGACTCATCCGGTCAGATCAACGACCATCGGAGTGAGTTGGCCCAAGTGTTGCATCCAGCAAAACACCTCAGAGCTGTTTGGTTCCACCGATGTCCACTGCAGAAAGTTCAGCAGAAAGAATGGTGTTTTGAGGCGTTTTGAGACGGCCGTACCCGAAGAAAACCGTAGCACAAATAAGACTTCTTGAAGTGTTGACCTACAAATCTTTGACGTACACTCCCTGAAATCATCATGGACGTGGACAACCCACCTTCTTTAATGAGAACAAGTGCGCTGGCAGTTAGGAACACAAAACATGTTAAGAGTTATAAGAGTTAAAACCTTAAAACATATTTAAGACAATCTAACTTTCCACAAACTGCTGTTTCAGTGCCATTGAGGAGCATGCAATGCAGGCAGAGTTTAAACATGCCCTCCACGGCATCATGAAGAGGATGTTCTTTCCACTGGCGAAACGGAAAAAAAAACACCGGCAGCAAGTCTCGCGATGTGTGAGGCCCAGAATGGAAGAGGAGGACTTCGTTTGGGAACCTGGAATTCGGTCGAACAACAAAGCATGTTTTGAGGCTTGGGTTTATGGAGACTGCTGGTTGTCGGCTTAGTATTAAGTGATTGTTTCACCTGTTGTTCACAGGTTAGGGGTGTACCCGCGGACCATCACTTTTGAGCTAGATGTCCTGCATGTCAGCAAAAGAAGGAATATGACGTTCCAATAAGCAGATAAGCACTTCCAGTTCGCGCTTCCATACTTCGCGCTTCGGTTCGGGGTCACCATTTTCTGGAAGCTCAACGAAGACTCTGTGAAAGATCTCCAGACAGGAAGGTCCAGGTACCTGGCTGGGTTTGGGGGACCCGCAGGGGGACCCGCAGGGGAGCCCGGTCAGCAGGGCTTTGGCCAAAAGAAACCAAGAGAGGGGAATTGTGACCGTAAATAGGACCCTACGGTAACTATGGGATAGTCGGTCTCTAGGGTTCTGACCCACCTCTGGCACTTCTGGGAGTCTGCAATTTTCAACATAAGCTCAGACACCAACATATCCATTGCCCGACCGGTCCCTCAAAACTGGAATTTGACCCTAGGGCTCCTGGCCCATCTCCTCAGGTTCGGTGGTTAGAGCCCCCAAAACCCACCCCAACCATCTTCGAAACGGAGGTAGTTGGAGCCCTAGGGTGAGACCCCTAGACCCCTGACCCCGAGAATTCAGATCTGATCCCTAACCCCGAGAATTCGGGTCCGTCGCGCGAGTCCTGGAGTCCTTCACCTGGGGTCGCTTGCTATCGGCGTGAGTGCCCCGAGAACAGCATCGCTTTTGCCTGAGATCCAATCCCCAGACGCGACCCATGGGACTGCCATAGGACTGCCGATCAGGCCAGGTGGTGTTTGGGGGGTCAATGTAGGCATATATGGCATACATGGAGTGTTTGGGATCTGGAGATTTCAACCCACAAAGAGGCTGTTCCAGTCCAGATCCCAGCTCCAGATCCGACTCGCAACTGATCGGCCAAGAGAGGCCATGGGTGAACGTAAATCGGACCCATCACCGGTACCCAACTGTGATAGATAGCCTTTTGCGGGTTCTACTTTTGCTGCGCAAAAAAAAGCGCGTCGACGACTGAGCGGAAATTTTCGACTCGTCCAGGTGGGCCACAACTGGCACAAAGCGTCCCTTCAATGCATCCGGCTCTTCCAGTCGACGACTCGCAAGGCGAGACCCGCGCGTGGAGCGGAACGCGCGCGGGGAGCGGAAGCCTGGCCGGAGGGCAGTAAGGGTCGGAAGCGGTCGTTTTGGATGGTTTTGTTGGATGCAGTTTTTTGGGTTGGCCCACTGGCAGATGGATGTCATGTGTTTTTTTGTGTGTTCGTTTTGGAAGATTTGCAGATGATGGCTATTGTTTGCCAATTTGGTTGAATTCGTTTCCTTTAAATGCTCGGGACAACATGTCCTTGCTTGGAGGGGTAGAAGACCCACCCTGAATCCGTGATTTGTGAGGGAAAGACATGGAAAGAATGAACATTTGTAGGGCAAGAAACAAGAAACATGTTAACACATTCTAGTTTCTCAAGCTAACAAAAAGCAACACAAGAACCGAATTGGCTTGGTTGTCTTCTGCATCGGCCGATTTGAAACACCTCAGCCGATCGGTCTGAACAGGTCTGAGCAGGTCTGAGTCGGCTGGTGAAGAGCTGTGTTGGAAGCTGCGAGATGAAGTTGAGAAGGTTGACTTGCGAGATCCGGGTGACGGTTTCACTGGTCTGGATCCCTCAATCCTGACTGCTGGGATCCTATAGTGAATCCAGGAATCGGATCCAATACATCAGGCTGGATCCCAAGACATCCTGACGTTCCAGAACACGTGCCATCTCGTCCAGCCCTAGTCATCCAGTTGGGAAAGCACAAGGGCAAATAGATACCTGGATATATCTGGGTCATCTAACAACAATTGACTATACCCTGCTACTACTTGAAATGCAGGATATCCGGGCATCCTGATCCTGGTGGGCTGGTTCCCAGCTAGATGTTCTTCTCTTGCCCAGTGCCCAGTGCCCACCTGTCCAGTTCCTCATCACGTTAGACCTAGGAGGTCGAGTGTTGTAGTTGGGGTTCCAACCCCTACGGATCCACTGCCACCGTACCTCAGAAGGTATGACTGGGCCCGTGTCCTGGCTGGCGCCGTTCCTTTAATAGTCTCCAATCACCGTACCTGAGAAGGTATGTGGATCCATAGGGAACATGTTCAAACTGCAAACGAGGTGAGCCTGGCCCTAGTTGATTGGGCTGCGAGCTGAAGAAAGTGGTATGAAGATTCATTTCACGAAATCAATTTTAACGTCAAACCGTCTTTGGATCTAATTTGATTTGGGGATTAACATGGATTAACAACGACTCGTTCGTATATGTTTGCATGATTGATTCTAGATTCTAGATATTTTCCCATGTACTCTACAAGCCTTCATTGACAACAGCAGGACCAAAACATGATACCCCAAGGCTTAGTCATCCCAGTCAGATGTTTTTTGCTCAAAGGACCTTCACCATCCCTCACCTCCGGCAACTCCTAAGACAAGTGGATCAGAGCCTGAATGGTCCCACCACAAAAGGAATGCAAGAGGGGAAACGACTTGGTTTCACTCTATATTTGGTGTTTCTTTTATGGTGTGATTGCCTTCCTTAACACTGTTGAAATCTCCCATGTTTGGGTCTTTCCATGCGCTTTGTTTTGATATGTCGGTAATGTCCTGTCATTTACACAACTGCTTGACTTGCCAGTCACCACGGTCGCAATGCTTCCAGTGCTTCACCAATAGGCCTTGTCTTTGGCACTGCGGTGTGTTCACACCGCCTCTGTAAACTACAACTTGCCCTGTGAAGCAACGGGTCAAGTTCTAACCTGGTGGGAGCCGCGGAAGAAAAGGGGCCAGTAGGGCTGCCGAAAGAGACGGCAGATGGCCTGACGTGGCGATGGTGGTCGTTGATGGCACAAAGATATTCGGCAGTAGCGTCCTTGCTCCTAGTAGTAAGGCCAGGAGCCCCTAGTAGCTTCTTGCTACTATAGTAGCAATGCACTTGTTACTATAGAAGTTGTTGATATCCTGCGATCTTGAATGCAGATCGTAAAAGCGAAGGCCTGGATAAACATGAGTGAGGTGAGAAAAGAAGTATTTGTTGGTAGTGTGGTGTGTTCAGAATATCCATTGCATGAAGGGAAAACTTATCAGGGTCCCTTCCGTGTCCTTGCTAGGGGTTGCACGTTTTGGATTACACGTGCGAAACCTTACGTTGCGTGCTGGGCCGCCTAAGGCAGTGAGCCAACAATGATCACTATTTTTGAACAAGGCCTTTGCTATAGCTATCATTATGCACTGTTACTGGTAATGGGATAGACCCCACTCATGAATGATGTTTCTACGGATCCATTTTAGCTCTTTTTAACTCACCCATTTTAGTCTGTAGGGGTAACCATGCATCAAGGTTCCAAATCCTGCAGCTGCTCCACCTTCCTTCAACTCCAGAACTGCGCCACTGCGCCACCCTCCTCCGACTGGGACTTGCAACGTTTCACCGCGGAAACTCCGTTTCAGTTCGTGGCGTAAGACGCGCCACGCGGGCTTTCTCATGACATGAAGAGAGCCTGTTGGGTTTGGTCTTAACTTTGGTGACTCCTGTTTTCCCTATAGCCGAATAAAGGTGAATCCCCTAAGCCCTAAGCTCAATTTCCCGGTTCCTGGGCAACAAATCCAGTTTCAGAAACGCGTGACTTTTGGGGGGGTTCAACCGATGTCCTCTCCTTCGGGCGTCATTTGTTGATCAGGTGGACGACAAGGCTTGGACCGACGGACGACCACCCAGCTAGCTGCCGAGGAGAGCCCACAAGTATCGGATGTGACTTCAGGAGCCTGGCGACGGGTATAAGTTGAGCCTGGTGACCTGCGTAGAGCCTGGTGACTGTGGTTTTCCACTGGGTAAAGCCCCTGGCATGGGGACTATGATGGAATATGAATATACCTGGACCCTCCTGTCGGGGTGTCCAATGGACTACCCCACACTACCTATAGGCATCCATTGGGCACCCCTTGGAGGGTCCTGGTATGTATTAATATGTTTCCTGGTTCCTTCAGCCAAGAGAGTCACCGCAGTTTGACAAGGTATATTCATTTAGACAGAGCACCCTGTTCCCCATCCAAGGACCGGATTTTCAGCGCAACATGTGGTTTAGACGGTGAATTGGAGTTTCATATGGTCCACATGGGCGATTTCTATCCGTAAATTCAACCAACGGTGAATCCTTCATGCTTCTACCAACTGTGAATGGGTGTCCACTTCTGGGATTGATCCGAGTGCATGAGCCTGGTGAGGTTCATGTTCCGTTTCCTCCCCTTCATGGGGGGAGTCCATGTTTATGTGTTTCTAGCTTCCGTAAAAATAATCTATATATAAGTTAAAGCCACTCCAAGTGAGGGATGGCCACTATTGATCTCCCATCATTTGTCATGCATACCTTTATAAACTCACGCACCCATGCCATGATGGCTCCCTTAGTACGGATTCTGTCGTGTGGGTACTAAGAAACAACCACATTAAGACACATGAAAGTGGAGCAGAGCCTCCTACCTGGACCATCCTGTAGTGTAGGGTACTCCACTGGTAGAAATCCATGCGGCCAAACTTTTTTTCCATGGAAACCATTTGAAGCAGGGTACCTGGAGCTTTTGGAGCGTTTTTGACTAGAGTCTTGCCCCCATTGGCCCTATGGTATCAATTCGCATCTCCTTGTCAGCAGTTTCGAGTGGCAAGATTTGAGCTGTTTCATGTCCTTAGAAACGCCTGTTGTACCAGTTCGAACGCAAAAATGCCGAAAAGAACCATCTGGCCAGTGCAAGCAGCCGATCGGAAGCGCTTCAGTCAGCATTGGACGCAGGTTTATGTCGAAGAAAAACACCTTTGATCATTCTATACGCCCTGGAAGAGCCCACATGGAACCTGAAAACCAGTGGTTTGTACAGGAAGAACAGTCTTCCAGGTTTGTTTTCACTTTCCATGTTAAATCTTCCTGCGAATACATAACATGTCATGACATCAATCTTTTTCCAGACATGATGATTGAGCTAATATCAATTTGACATCAGATCCTCCAGCTTCATGTCTGAAGACGGGTATATAGAATCTTTATTATATATAGCGTCTTCGTTTTGTTGGCACCACCATCCCTAGCAGCCCTAGCTAGGATCATCCTGGGTTCCACACGAGCATCCGTGCGGCATGTGGAAGCAACCACAACTTGGGACATTCTACACCAAAGATACTTCAATCATCTCTTAGCAGGACTAATTCAACAGTCGTTTTCGGAGAACCCCAGCACAAGTCAAAAACAAAAAACGTGGTGTTGTTCCTCAGGAATCCTCCCCAACTCCTGTTTGGGGCTGTCTTCTTTGGAACCTCGCCATCTTCCACTTCCACCATTGAAACATGGGAACGTGGAACCGGATCCTCTAGTGCGTCGCACACGGTGACCGTCCCGTCCAGGGGAATGAATGGAACGCCTTGCTATGCCAGTTCCGACCTCAGTTGGGGGTCAACCGACCGACGGTGGCAGGAGATGAGAATTCCGTGGAGAAGAGGAGTGTTGTTCTCTTTGCACAGCTAAGTCGTCACCTAGCGAAGTGGCCGAGGTGACGAGATCGATATGTTTTTTTTGTTTAATTATTTTTGATGTAGGCATTGTCTCCAGGCATTGTCTAGAAATTGACAGTGCTTCATACTCCAAGTTCACCGCGGCCTTCCGGAAACTGATATGTCTTGGACTGAAAAGAAACAGAAGGAACGCCACTCATCGGGGCTGTTGACTTCTTTGTGGAGAAACGAGTTGTGTCGTCGAGTTGAATCGTTCCCATTGGTCGGGTGTTCGACCTGGTGTGTTCGACGTGTTTTGTAGCTTGCTCACCGGCTGGCAAGCTACCTGGAGTCTCAAAGTACTTCAGAAAATGGGTACAAGTACCTGTTTTTATAGAGGCATGTCCCATTTTCTAAGGCACTTTGGAGGGTCCAGGTAGAGATGAGGGATGACAACATCCGAGAAACAAACAGGAAAAACCTTGAATAGAAGGACACCAGCACCATCCTGTTTGGGTGTCCAATGGAGTAATTAGCCCACTACTACCCAAGATGCCCAGACAGGACAGTCGGACACCCAGACAGACAGAAGATGGTCCAGGTGTATCTTGCTCTGTCCTATGACCTGTCACAGTCGGCAAAGGGTTTTGTGGCGATTTTTGAGATGGAAAGGCCTGGCAACCGTCGGCCCCATCATCATCCACGGCTGGGCATCCAGAGCTTAGGATAGGCCCCCCAATGATGATGTATAAATCCGAGATTTGAGAGTTTGATCTCCCCAAAGTCTAACAATTTATGGGGTGACCCATATTTCAATCATGTTGCATGTGATGTTAAACCATCTTCATGTCGATTTTTTCATGTTCATTCAATCGAGAAAAGAAAACAAATGATCAGGACATGGTTGAAGTGTCATTCAGGACTGTGATGAGGTTGAAGTGTCATCAGGATGTTCAATGGTTGAAGTGTTTCAACCGATTTTTCATGTTCATGTCCTGATCGATTTCACTGTCCTGCCAACCTCCACGTGAGACCCGGTCAGGCCCTGA